AGACAACATGACGACCATTACACCAGAGAAAACAAACAATAAGTGGACGGTTTGAAAAATCGGCAAGCGCCGAAGTTGCGAAGAGGCCCTAAATACCGATTCGGTGGAAATTCGGGAAGGGTTGTGGCATTCTCGCCTTTTCGGGTATCCGTCGGTTCAAAACGGCTCAAGAGGATAGACGATCTCAGAGTGCTCGTCGACGGCCCAAGGCGGTATGAATACGGCCCCGCGACTGCCCGAAGAGACCGAGCAGACGGCGAAAAGGCCCCCACGACGGACCATTGGACAGGACAATGTCGGGACGGCCCGCATCCGCTTCCAGAGGCGAGGTCGAGAGGTGCCAGATGTGACGGCGCTTCTCTTATGCCTCCTCTTGCCAGTGGCCATTGTCATCAGCATCACCGTGCATCATCATCGTGAACATGCTCATTCTCATCATAGTGACGCGTGATATCCTTTACGCTGATGACACGCTGCTTCTTTCACGACACGTTGCAAACTTGAATGGCCTTTTGGCGGCAATTGTTGCTGAAGGAGAAAAGTACGGGCTGGAGTTGACAGCAGAATTTCCAGGCCGACCAGCGAGCCGATCAAAACTGTCCGCGAAGCCATCTACCTCGGGGGGCTGATCACGTGCGACGGGAAGGCGACGACGGAGGTGACCAGGCGATTGGGGGAAGCGACGAAGACTTTAAGCAATTGGACCGGATATGGGCTCACGCGTCAATTGGAAAAAAGCGGAAATACATTATATATATATATATATATATATATATATATATATATATATTATATCCAGCTGCGTACTCAGCGAGCTCATGTATTCTTTGGATTCTGTATGGTTGCTTAAAGCAGACAGGTCCAGATTGGACAGCTTCCATTGCAAATGCTTGCGACGCCTACTTGGTATTCCCCACTCGTTTCTTTCTCGCGTTCGCAACAATGAAGTATTGCAGCGGGCGTCGTCGACACCATTATCTGAGTATCTGAAGGAACGCCAAATAGCTCTGTACAATAGAATCGCCAGGTCCCCGGACCCTTCCCTGATCAAAGAAATACTGTGCGATGCGGATGGCATTCCCAAAAATTGGGCACGCCGCCGGAAAAACGAGGGCGCCCGCGACAGCAGTGGGCGACTTCAGTGTACGATTTGTCTCTCGTGAGTAACTCCAATCCGCACGCTCCTCGTCCCCCCCCCCTCCCCCCTCTCTCCTTCCTCCCCCTCCTGCTCCCCTCTCGTTTCCTGCGTCAGTCGTGAGACGCTCCGTTTTTTCTGCTTCACAGTCGAGCCTCTGTGTTCACGCAATCCATCTGCAAGATGTCCCTTGCATTGTCACGAAGAGCTGCCAATTGTGCTCTCTTCTGCCCACGCGTCCTTCCGGATGCTCGGCTCAGCCATGCCATGCCATGCCCTGGGGGTTCCTCCTCCCTCCTCCTCCCCTTGGGGGCCAGAGCCGTAGCGAAGCCGGATCGGCAAAAGCCGGCAGGAATCGGCTGACGCATCGAATCGGCAGCAGCCGGATCGGGCGAACTCGAAATCGGAATCGCGAATCGGAATCCCGGAATCGAGTCGGTTCGAAATCGGAATCGCGGAAATCCATTCGAATCGAACCGGCGGAATCGGAATGACCCCTGCACGGGCACCAGGGAGCCCGGAACCGGGAGATGGACAGTGATGTGGAGAAGGAGATTGTGGGATCGATAATGGGATCAATAACCGCATCAAGCAATTAAGAGCCCCCCCCCCGCTCCAGCGAAAGTATAACGCACCTTGCACCCCAGAAGCGTTACCCTGGCACCTCGCACCTTTATGTGAACGCAGACGAGTCTGCTCGCCGAAACAAGCAAACCGCCTGAGACATTCTCGCAATATGGTTTCCTTGTGGTTCTGAAGCAAGCGCCTCGCCTGAGACATCCTCAGACTCTGCTCTGGACGCAGACGAGTCTGCGTCAGGTGGTCGGTCTAGGCGAGAACTGGAGTGGCCGCGCGTCTTCCCAGCGCTCGGCCTTCCGAACAGAGTTCCTCTTCCTCTTCCTCTTCGTCCTTCTCACGGGTCCTCCTCCTCCCATTCCTCCTCATCAGGGGTCATCCTCCTCTTCCTCCTCCTCCTCCCCCCCGTAGCCATTTTGGCTCTTATTCGCCATTATGGATCAAGCCGAGGGCCAATGCCTCAGTCAAGAGGCCTTGGCCCAGCCAAACAGAAAAAAAGCATCCTCCTGCTCCTCCTCCTCCAGACTCCCTCACGGCACGGCACCAACACGAACAACGACAATCATACCAGCAATCGGAGTTATAGCTAGAACATCAAGGCCAACAACAGCAACAGCAACAGCAACAGCAACAGCAACAGCAACAGCAACACCAACAACAACAACAACATCAAAAACACAAACAACACCGCCAACACCAACAATAACAACATTCAGTCCCACGCAAAGGGGAACCCAACTTTGAAAAGGAACCGTCAGTGCCTACGATGGGGGGCGAATGATTTTGGCGGTGCGGGTGCTAAGATAACGCGCCGTGCGTGGCGGGGGCAATATCCTCGGATGCACACTACCCCACACGACGGCCGGGAAAAAAACAATGTTTCAGTAAGGGTGGTAATAAGAATCGTAGAGGACAAGGACGATGAAGAAAATGAAAAAAAAGAGGAAGGGAGGAAAGAAGCAGGGGAGCCCGTCAGTTTCCGCATGTTTACCCTGATTACTATCATTACTCGTACTCGCATTCTTATTCGTGTTAATATTAGTCTTATTCTTATTTGTATTATTATTGGTCATATTGTACTTCTTGTCTTATTGGGTAAGCTGTCGAACTTATGTTGTGCGGGTGCGGTGCTAAGATAACGCGCCGTGCGTGGCGGGACCGATATCCTCGGATGCACTACCCCACACGACGGCCGGGAAAAAACTATGTTTCATCAGGGGTGGTAATACATATCGTATAGGACAAGGGTGATGAAGATAATGCGAAACATGAGTTATTATTTGTCGTAATATTATGTGTAGTTGCATTGATATTCTTATTGGTATTCAAAGTGTGATGTTTAATATCATTGTTATTATTCATTGTTTTTACTATCACTCTTACTCTTACTATTATGAGTACGATTGTTCTTCTTACTCTGAACAGTATCATGTTATTATTCTTATTATTGGTATTACTCATACTCTTAGTATTATTAGTAGTGTTACTCTTATTTTGTTTATTATAAATTATTAGTACTCGCATTCGGATTCGCATTCTGATTATTATCCATAGTCTTACTCTTGTTCTTACTCTCAGTACCATTCATATTATGATAATTACTCTTACTCGTATCCCTTACTCTTATTCTTATTCATATTCAAAATGGGATACCACCCGAGCCAGGGCGCGGGAATCATTTACTTTCGTTCCATGTGTGCGATGCTAATCAGATCGTTCGGCGAAAACCGCCCCCCCAGAATTATGTAATTACGGTGCTGTGCTAATGATAACCCCGAGGGGGTCTTTAATGGCTTCTTGCGATTAGTGTGAGGACGATAATAATGTCGATCGTGAGACCGATAGTGACGTCGATTCCGTGAGACCGATCGTGAGATCGATCGTTTGATCGCCCGCGGGTGTGATCTTTGGTGATCGATAGTTAGTGAATCGATTGTGATATCGATTGTGAGATAGATACTGAGATTAATGGTGAGATCGATAGTGAGGTGGGTAAGGAGATCGATGGTGAGACCGATCGACACAGATCGAAGAAGAACCCGGGGACCCTGCCGCCTACCGAAATCGGCCCGGAAGAAGCAAACCCGCACCCGGGAAGCCGAACCCGGGAACCCGGGAACCCGGCCGCCTACAGAAATCGGCCCCGTACTTTCACCAAATCTTTCAATCTCCGCTAGGACCCTTTCAGTGCAAGCACTGATCGGGGAATCCAAAGCACCGTGGCGCTGCTTCCACGACTGCCCCTCCGGGATTCTAGGAGAGCTCGGCAAAACCATCCTACATGCATATCGACGCTTGGCTGGTACAGTGGCGGGGTTCGCCACGGGCAGTTGGAATACAGCAAGGGCCCATCTGACAGAAGCGCCGACCCATCACAGAAACGCGAAGCACACAAGGCTGACGAAGGTGGCAGACCTCGCGGCACCGCGACACAGAGACTGCTGCCCGGTCCGTCCACTCCCGACCGAAGAAATCCGCGCGGACCTGTCAAACATTGTGTCGATGTTTGCTGTCGTACTAAAGGCGTGATGTTTGAGGCCGAAAGCGGAGCACGTGCCCGCAATGTAAGCACCCACTCGCTCCCAAGTGCGAGCCCTCACGGGCCAGACAAGTCGCTCGGGGAGCATTCTGTATACGTCGTGATAAGGCCCCTACTCCTCCACCCACCAGGAGCCTGCTACTGTAGCTCTCAGGTACGGCTGCTGCGGTCTGCTACAAATTTTCAGAACATCGTAATGCCATGTGTGACGCCCGCGAGCTGGCGACACGGATCCCTTGGTACATACGTCTGTTAGTAGTCTCGAAACTTCGCCACACGATTGGCCACAGCCCCAAAACTGTCCCCCTGCGTTTCTTCCCGAGCTTCGCCAGAAGAACGTCCATTTGCCCCCTGCTCCAAAACATTCGGCCCGACTTCCTACCCTAATTTCCTTCAGACGCACTGCGGCTGAGTAGTTACCCACCCCCCTCCCTCCATCGGCATCCCTGCGAAGGATGACGGAGGATGAAACAGGGAGGACAGCAAAGAGAAGTCCACCGTCGCATCCCATTTTGACTCGATCCTCTTGTGGCTGGCGTCCAAGGGAGAAGCCTGCCGCCGCCCTCAGCAAAAGGCCTCTGTCTATCAGAAGTTGTGTGGCCCGCTCTGTTCTCTCCTCATCCTTCCCTCCTCCCCCCTTCTACACCTCCCCTCCATCTCTCGATTCCCCTCCTTCTCTCCCCCTCCTCCTTCTCCTCCTTTCTCAACGAGCGCTGCTGCTGCACAATGCCAACTACCAAGGGGGCTGTCCAGCGTGTTCTCCAGCTTCCACGACATCTTGTATGAATCGCATTGATGCCTCCGCCGCAGCAGTCTGGGCACTCATGGAGTGCACCATGAATTGGGAGTGCAGTCCCTGGACGACGACGACGACGACGACGACGACGACGACGACGACGGCAGACGACGACCGACGACGACGACAACGACGACTACGACGACGACGAGCGACGACGACGACGGCGGCGGCGACGACGACGACGGGGGCGGCGACGACGACGAGCGACGCCTCTGGAGTTCTTCGGTGGTCTCCGGTGGTCTCTGGAGGTCTCCCGAGGCCTCCGGAAGCCTCCTGAAGCCTCTGCAGGAGGCCTCCTCAGGCCCTCCGGAGGTCCTCCGAAGGCCTCCAGAGGCCTCTGGAGGCCCTCGAAGGCCTTCGACGGCGTTCTACGACGACGACAACGACGACGACGACGGCGAGCGACGATGAGCGACGATAACGACAACGACGACGACGACGAGCGACGACGAGTGACGACGAGCGACGACGACGACGACGAGCGACGATTGCAAGAGACGAGTTGTGGCGAGCACATTCCTGCGAAGGCGTCGCTGCCTCCACGTGGCGTATAAGAGGTATAGTCCTATCCTCATTCCTCGTCGTCTTCGTCGTCGTCCTTCTCTTCCTGTTGCTCCTTCTTTTACGAATGCCACAAGTGCCTGAGAGCACCGCAACATGCCCGCGACCACCGCGGATCCCTATACGGATCCCTTTTGGGATCCCTATTCGGATCCCTATGGGGGTGCCCGTCGGGATTCCTATGCGGATCCCTACTGGGATCCCTATGCGGACCCCTATGCGGTAGGAGATCCCTGTGCGGATCCGTATGCGGATCCCTATGCGAATTGCCATGCGGATCCGTATGCGGATCCGTTTAAGGATCCCTATGCAAATTCCTAGAAGATCTCTATACGGACCCCTATGCGGATCCGCATGCGGATCCTTATTGGAATCCCAATGCGGATCCCTATGCAGATCGTTTTGCCATCCCCATGCGGGCGTATCCCTTGGCGGATTTCTATGCGGATGCCTCGGCTCCCTATGCGGATCCCTATGCACACGGCGGCAGTGACGGGGGTGCACTGGGGGGGGGAGCGTTGCGTTATGGGGGGGGGGCTGGGGGCCATAGCGCGCATTGTGGCTAAGGCAATCAAGAAACACGCTCCTCCACGACGCGAAGGGGTCTGGGCCCCTCCCCACCTCCAGAAGGAAGGGCGGGGCGAACGCGGGTCGGGGGCAGGAGGCGGGCGGAGGCGCTGCGACTCGCCCATCCGCTCTTCCAGCAGTACCTCCCGGATGAGGCGGTCCAGCGGGTTGCCCGCCACCTGCGCGTTGGGCAGGGCAAGTGCTGACACCAACCCAGCGAGGGCGGATACTCACCTGTAGCGGCGTGGTTGCCCAATCGATTGCGCACAACTAGGTGAGAAAGCTCTTGTGGCCGGCCTGTCCAGCGCCTTATTCACTCGGGGGCCCCCTCGTCTCGAGGCCACTCTGGAACACCTCCCTCCTCCTCCTCGAGCGCTAGTCTGGGCGCGGGGCCTTCGTCGTCTCGGGAGGAAGGTCGAAGGTGGGCTCTGGAAGCAGTCTTGCTCGAGAACATCTACTTCGACGATGTGGGTTGTCCGCGGTGCGTCTTGGGGATCCTAATGGGCTCGGTGTCCGGCTGAATAGTGTGTTGTGTGGCACGCTTCCCACTCCTGAACAATGCAGGCCTCGTGCTGTGTTGCTTGTGTTCCTCCTTTCGCTGATACACACCACAGGTAGTGGTAGATTGTGCTGTGCTGACTAGTTTTCTCTGGCGAGACCTACTCGCAAGCCACGAGCTCAGGCGGTGGCTAGTTCGACGATGCTCGATCTGTGGGTTCGGATGTGGAGCGCGATCGATGATAGGGGACCTGGTCAGGTCGAAGTTCTGTGGACCAAGTCTCATTCTGCAGCCGTGCAACGCGCAACGTTCGCCATTGGCGATGAGGAGTTGTTCTTGTATTGGTGTGTCAAATTCTTTGCTGGTTGGGACGCCGACTGCGGCGGTCTAACCAATGAGCAAGTCGCGCTCATGCACTTTGTTGATGACCTCAGCCCTCGTCCTCGATCGTCTCTTGGACGTGGACCGCGAAGTGGTGCAGGCGATTCCCCGCCGTGCTGCTCACAAGTTCGGCTGCCCTCCGCCCCGCCCGGCACCCTTGCCGTCTTGCCTTGTTCGGGGGGACAAGCTCAGAGCTGGAGGTCATGAGCCCATGCGTGCGGGGGTTGCTCTGAAGCGTCAGATGTGTGACAGCCGACTTCTTTTGGGGCGCCTCTTCGGTCCTTCTGTCCAGGGTCCTGTGTGGACAGTGCTGCCCTTGCTCCGCCCAATCCCCTCCACGCTCCACTTTATCCTAGATGCGCATCGGGCCACATGTTGAGTGTATTTCGAGGCGATCTGTTTTGCGAGCAGTGCCCAAGCTTGACCTGGTCTCCAATCCAACCCTCCTGGTCGTCCTCCTTCTCCCCCGCTCTTCCCCTTGTCATCCTTCTCCTGCGCGGGCTGGGACCAAGGGATACCCTGGAATCTCACGCCTAATGGGATCAATTCCGCGACACGCGCGCAATGCGTTGCCGGGCACAACCGCCAGACTTCCTCAAACCGTTACCAGGAAGACCAGAGCGTAGAACAGGCAGCACGTGAGGGTCGACGAGGGGGCAAGAGAGAGAAGTTGGGAGGGAACCGGAGAGAAGAAGGATAATGATAGATCGCTGACGAAAAAGACTGTGGATGGATGGCGCGTACGGACAGTGGCTCCTGAAGGGAAGAGGGAAGTGATGCGCTGGAGTTTGGCATTCGGTGCACTCTCCAAGGACAGGTGTCAAACTCGTACGTGATCGAACGAACAGCACCTATTTCACATCCTCCCGAAGCACTAGTGACAACATCCTAGTTAACCAATTGAGAGATATCGCGATGGGCTTCGACTGATGACATCCCATCCGCGTGCGCAATCAATCACAAGGCCAAGTGCCGTATGTGAAGCATGCTCGAAGCTCACTGCGCTACGACAAGCGAGTGGTAGACTCGTCCAGCAATAATCGATGCTTGGTGCGCCGTCACGGGGCAACACTGGCAAAATAGTGCGGTAACTTGTGCAAACGTTTGGCGGTGCTCCTCAGCTGAACACATTGTCCGGCCACTTTTGGAAGAAAAACTGATTTCTCAGTAAAGTCCACAGTGACACGCTCCAGCCTTGCATCTCGGTCCTGGTTCGGGAAGTCATGCGGAGGCATGCCGCAAAAGGGGGAGCGGAAGGAACACGAGAGAGAATATGAGGAGCGGGAAATGGGATTGTGAGGCCGATGATCCATGAAACCTGCCAGAAAAAAAGGTGGCGCCGCAACTCGCACATGGCGGCCGGTAAGCAGAACCGCCCCATGGACACCGATATCCCGGAACAGTCCGAACAATGGGTAGAGGAAGAAGAAAGTCGATGATAAATGATGGGGACCTACTCCGACGGTCGGGCCCCGCATGGAAATCCTTCGGGTTTGCCCTTAGCCTTTCCCCCCTCGCCCTGGCAGACACCCTACTTTCGCCCTCTGCTCTACCATGTCCTCCTCTTCCTCCGTCTATTTATCCTCCTCCTCCTCCTCCTCCTCGTCCTTTCCCACCTCCTCCTCATTCATCGCCCTCTCCCTACCCCTTCCTCCTTCCTTCCTTATCCTCCTCCTGCCTCTTCTCCACGCGCGCCTCCCCTTCCCCCTGGTCGGGGCAAGCAAGTCGTTTTTCCTCGGCGCCGTCGCCGCCCCGGCTGGAGCGCGCGCGCGCGTTCGCCGACGGCTGGAGCGCGAATCCGTTGGGGCAATCCCGCGGGCCACGCATTTGGGAAATCCCACGGGCCGCTGGGGCCCGGGGGCCGGCCGTCGGGACAACCCCGCGGGCCTGGCCTTGGGGGCGACCCCGCGGGCCTCGAGGCGGCGCGGCCGCGATCGGCCGGGGGGCAGCGCGAGACCCAGCCGCGCTGCGGGCTCCTCCGCCTCGGTTCTTGAACTATCCGCTATCTCGTCGAACTTACGGGGCGCCTTCCGCCGGGGCGCCGGCGGCCCGCGCTCCAAGAACTCTCGCGCGGGCGGCCGCGGGACCAACGTTTTCCCCGCGCGCGTGGCGCAGGAAAACATGACGTAGAGGTGCAGCCGCCACTGTTCGTCCGACGCGCCCGTGCGACCAGCGCCCTCCTCCCTGGCGCAGTCGATGACGACGCCCTTCGGCAGCGTCTGGCCCCGCGACAGCGTGGAGGTCAGGCGCGACGCGCGCGCCAGGGTGAACCTCTAGCGGCGCGCGGCGCGCGGCCCCGAGCTCTGCCAGGTGAACTCCAGCTCGCTGGGCTTGAACATCAGCAAGCTCATCGCCCGCGCCCCGGCCTCGCCGTCGTCGCCAGCGCCTTCGGCGCCCTGTAGCAGCGCATCGGCGACAACCTGGTAGATCGGGGATTCCTTGAAGCCGCGCACCTGCAGGCAGATTGGCCGCGGAAGTAGCGGGGGCGAAGGAGCTGGCCCGGAGCGCGCCCCTCGCGCCGCCGCTCGTCATCTGGGTCAAACTCGAAGGAAACGACGGCACCTCCCAGCTGGAACTTCCGCGCAATTCACTCGCAGATGAGGCCCCCGCCAGAGGCCCTTCAAAAATTCAACCGCGACGGGGCCCAGAAACGACGGCAAATTCAAAATATGCGCGGCCCGCTCGGACCACCAACATGGAGTGCGGACTCCATGGAGAAGGGGCCCCCGCCTGGGACTTCTGCGTAATTCACTCGCAAATGAGGCCCGCGCCTGAGGCCCCTCCAAAATTCAAGCGCGAGGGGCCCGAACGCGACGACGCTTGCATGATTAGCGTGGCCCGCTCGGACTACCAACGTGAAATGCTGTCTCCATAGAAAGGGCGCCCCCGCCTGAGGCGTCCTCGCAATTCACTCACAGACGAAGCCTCCGCCTGAGGCTTCTTCGACATCCAGGCGCGAATGGCGTAAAAGCGACGACACTTATAATCTCGCGAGGACCCGCTCCGATGACCAACGCGAAGCGCGGGCGGGCGCACTGGGGAGGGGGGCCCGCCTAAGACTTCCCCGCAACCCACTCGCAGACGAAGCTCCCGCCATAGGCTTCCTCGATATGAATGCATGAGTGTGTGACTGCGTGAGTGCGTGTGTGCGCTTGTGCAGGCGCGTGAATGAGTGCGGGGGCGATGTCGATGACGCTGGCGATGGCGATGATGAGCGGGCGAGTGGGTGCGCAAGGGACTGAGTGACGATGAAGATACTAAGGATGACGATGACTAGTAATATGTGAATGTGCGCGGGTGACGAAGCGAGGGGGCGATGTTGCTGATGGTGCTGAAGATGATGATGATGAGGATGATGATGCTGATGATGATGAAGTGGGCGGGCCCTTGCCCCTGTTGCTGCGCGGGGTGTCCAAAGAAAACAAAAGCCCCACTTAGGATGTGGGGAAAAGAAAAATCGCGTTTGAGAAGGGCTGGGCGGGGCCCGCGCCGCGCGGCGACCAGCGGCCGGCCGGCGCGTTGCTCGCAGGTGTCGCTGTCGCGCGAAAGTTTACCCTACGCCGCGGCGTTGAACTTGCGCTGAGAAGGAGCAGCCGAACATCCGCCAACATGCCCCATCCTGCCCCGATCGCAGCGCGCCGCCGCGCGCTGCCGCGACGCGCCGACGCCCGCCCTGACAGCCGGCTGCCGCGCGAGCTGGGCCCATGCGTCCAAGACGGCACTTCTGCTCTGCAGCGGGGCCCGGGGGCCTCCGATGGAGTGCGCTGGAAGTCGCGCCAGCCGGGCTCAAGAGCCCATGGCGGCGCCCTCCTGCGAGGTCGGCTCAGGAGCCGCCGTCGCCAGCACTGGGTAAGGACCCCGTCCGATTCTGACCGCAGGTGGTTGCGCCAGCAAATCCCAGGAGCCGCAAGCGCGGGCGAGGGCCGCGCCCCCCCGCTGTCGCCCGCGAGGCCAAGCCCTCAGGAGGGCCCCAAGGGGCCGCCCAGAATTAGCCGCGCAGGAGTGACGCGCGCCAGTTGGACCCAACGCGACGCCTGGGAATCAAGACTCCCAGACAACGCGGCACGTATGTGGCGCCGCCTAAAGCAGATCCCACCCACCCACCCACCCGGCGCCCCTGGCAGCGGCGGCGGCGGAGCCACCCCACTCTCGGGCTAAGCGCGGACGAGGGGGGGGGGAGAGGAGGGTAGGCAGGGCGAGGGGGACCTAGGAGAACCGCTCCCGCCCCCAATGTGGAAGCGAGGATCGAGCGACATCTGCCGCAGCTGCGTCGATGCATTGCTTCGCCGCGCGACCCTG